AGCAGCTAAACAAACAGGGCATGTGAAGGATTCTATTACACTGTCACGGAAAATCTTCTTAGCCATTTCATTTTGCTCCTCTTTCCTGACTAATGGGAAGAATTATCCTCTATCTGATTACCTTCATTGGTCCTTTAATCCTTTAAGGACCTCTGAGTCCTCATTATTCAGCCAAGCAGAAGAAAGACAAGGAGGAAAGCGAAGGAGAAAGGAAGAAACAAAAGAAGGAAAATCCACAATACATACGGAGCAATGGGAAGCACTGATACACACGTGAATTAAATATCTTAACAACCTTCTCATGATTATTTAGACACACAGGCAAGCTTTTCTGAGGAAACATGGTGTTGGAAAAGGCTCTTGAGAGTGCCCTGGACTGCAAGGAGACCCAACCAGTCAATCTGAAAGAAAATCAGTCCTGAATATTCATTGGAAGGACTGATGCTGAAGCTGAAGCTCCAGTTCTTTGACCACCTGATGCAAACAGCTGACTCACTGGAAAAGACCCTGATGCTGGGAAAGATTGAAGGGGGGAGGACAAAGGGACAACGGAGGATGAGATGGTTGGACGGCATCACCGACTCGATGGACACGAGTTTGGGTAAACTCTGGGAGTTGGTGATGGACAGGGAGGCCTGGCGTGCTGCAGTCCATGGGGTTGCAAAGAGTCGGACAGGACTGAGGCGACTGAACTGAACTGATGCCTAATTCCCCTCTAAAATAGAAGGACTAAGTTTTCTTCCAGGCTTGCACCTTGGACGTGCTCAACAAAAGTGGTGAAGGGAAGAAGGAAAAGGCGTCAGAAACCAGTTTCTAGGAAGAAAGATGCATACTTGCTAATCGCCCAATTTCTCTTCCTGCCAGTGCCTTTAGATCTCCATTCCTGAGCCACCATACTGACTTCCCACCTGGAAGAAGACCCCAAAAGACACTCGCCAAGAGAAGCTACTCAGATTGAGAGCCACCGCCATCACCCCGGGTCCGCAGGGCCCAGCACTGATTTCCTGTGGCTTCTGTCCAGGCTGACATAGATTCTGGGTCTTGCATTCTAAAGGCAGAAGATGCCTATCATGCTTGACTTGATACATATGTTCCCCCTGACATGAGGTTGCCCACTAAGTATCAATTAGTTATGTTTCAGTGAGGGCTGTAATAAGCCTGTTCCCATAGCAACACTCCTCAACTTCACTTGAGTGGGAAGTGGGAAGTTTCTGGGGAGCATTAAATGTAGATTCTGGGGACCAGCCTGGAAATGGACTGACCACATATGACACAGTTTCTCCTGGAAAATGCCCATCAAACTGTCTATCTATCCATGCATCCATCTCTCTATATAATCTACATCTATGTCAATTTTGTATATTTATATTAAAACCTTATATAGGCTAAATTTCACTTACATTATATAATACAGCTATATTTCTATAATAACACTGTTTACTTTTTAAGTCATGTTTGACTCTTTTGTGACCCCAGGGACTGCAGCCCACCAGGCTCCCGTCCATGTAGTTTTCCAGGCATGAGTGCTGGAATGGGCTGACATTTCCTTCTCTCTATAATACACTGTGTAGCTAAATGAATTTTATTCATTATGTGTAAAAAAGGCTTTCCAATAGATGTTGAAATAAAGCATGTTTTGATGAGCTTTTCTTATCAGTTATATAAAGTATACACAAATATAGTTTGTATATATATATGTATATGTATATATATATATACACAAGTATATATAAACTCTATACAAATTCAATTTTACATATGCGTAACACAGACTATATATAAAGCAGACAACCAATGAGGACCTACTGTATAGCGTGGAGAACTCTCCTTAATGTTTTGTAGTAACTTAACAGGGAAACGAATCTGAAAAGGTAAATATATATATGTGTGTATGTACACACACACACATACATACACGTATGCATGGATGCTAAGTCGCTTCAGTCATATCTGACACTTTGGAGCCCCACGGCCTGCCTCACACGCCAGGATCCTCTGTCCCGCATTATCTCCTGGAGTTTACCCAAGTTCACGTGTGTGCATGAGTGCTCAGTCGCTTCAGCCGTGTCTGACTCTTTGTGACCCCAGGGACTGTAGCCTGCCAGGCTCCTCTGTCCATGGGGTTCTCCAGGCAAGAATGCCGGAGCGGGTTGCCATTCCCTTCTCCAGGGGATCTTCCCGACCCAGGGATCAAACCTGGATCTCCTGCATTGCAGACAGATTCTTCACCATCTGAGCCACAGGAGAAGCCCTAAGTTCATGTACACATAGGTATGGGTGTGTATATATATATATATATATAGACATATGTATGTATATATATAAGTTCATGTACACCTATATATACACACACCCATATATATCTATATAAATATATATGTATATCTGAATCACTTAGCTGTATACACTAATGCAACATTGCAAATCAACCAAGCAAATTTAAAAATGCAGTGTATAAATATAATTATATAAATATATAAACACAACACAGCAGTAATTATAGACACATATACTCAAATTAACTTTAGCTAGTTTACTGGATGAAGGCTTTCTAGATCCGATTTGCCAGTGGAATGATTTTGTACGAGAAATGGCTCTGTGATGTCGTCTGTAACTGTCCTGAGACCCCCCCCCCGGCAATGGACAGACATGTCAGGGACTTAAGTCTGTTTAAGTCTATTTGCTATTTAGGTCTTTGCTATATATATATATGTAGCTATATGCTATACAGCTATTTATATATTTGCTATATAAGTCTATTTGCTATTATGTGCAGTCTGATTTCCAAAGAACCTGCTGCTGGAGGCCCAGTGACAGGCTGGGTCTGGAAACCCTGCAGCATTAATTCAGCACTGCCCTGGCTTTCCCAGGGCCTGGGGTGCTGTCCACGCTTCTCAGTAGGTACCCTGCGGGTGAGCGGAACTGGGATGCATGGGAACGGCAGGAAGGCAGGGACCCCAAGGCCACAAAAAGATTCTCATGAGTTGTTCCACTCTGGGGACTTGCAGCTTCTCAGGGTTTAGGGAACATGAACCTCGGCTTTGTCCGCTGTGCTGATACAAAGCTCCTCGGACCATGCCAGTCGAAGTGAATGGCCACAGCCTCTCATCAGAACCCTTGCGCATGAAGACAAAAAGGATGGCACCTCCTATCAGGCAGATAAAAGGGCTATTTAGTTTTGTCTTAAAAAAAAAAAAAAAAGAGTGTCTAGTTTGATCCTCAGGGGGAAGAAAGAAAAAGTCAATTTCTGCATCCCAGTTATGCAAGCTGGCGGAATGTGGAAGAACACGAAGGGGCTGTCTGATTTCACTCCTACCACACAGGGGGGCTCACCCTGAGTGTAGATAATGATACCCTGTTGCGAAACGTTGCTCACATCGGAAGAGAAAGCTTCCTGGAAAATTAGAGAAAAGTACACGTGTGCCCCTCAGTGTACACGCGCAAACTCTTTAGGTTTCATGATGGAGGTCTCAGCATCCCGTAATAAATCCTAACAGCAAAGCACGTGAAACAGAATCTGTGTATGCATAAATGGATCACTGTGTTGTACACTTGAAAGGAATGCAACATTGTAAATCAACAAAATCCCAATAAAATAAATAGATACACGTATATGTATAGGTGGATCACTCTGGTGTACCCTTAAAACTCGCGTAACATTGTAAATCAACAAAACTCCAATAAAAAATAGATACATGTACATGTATAGCTGCATCACTATGCTGTCCATCTGAAGCTAACGCAACATTGTAAATCAGCTACCCTTGAATAAAACACATAGATACAAGTATGTGAAAGACGCCTCCTCCCGGGAAGAAAAATTAGGACAAGCCTAGACAGCAAGATGGAGGGTCAATACGACAAAGACAGTACCCTCCTACAAGTTTCTCCTACGGGCACAGAAAAAGAGACTCGATGCCAGAAACTAAGAGAAATGCAGATCAAAGCCGCAGTGAGATATCAACTCAAAAGGGCCAGAGCGGCCGTCATCAAAAAGTCTTGCAAACGGTAACAGGCGTGGGGAGAAGGGAGCTCTCCCACACTGCTGGACGGAATGTGCATTGCTACAGCCCCGACAGCGAACAGTAAGGAGGTTTCTCAGAAAACTTCAAAAAGAGAACCACCATGTGACCCAGCAATCCCACTCCTGGGCATATCTTCAGAGAAGACAAAAACTTTTAATTCAAATAGACACGTGCACCAGCCCCCCGCCACAATATTCACCGCAGCACTATTTCCAGTAGCCAAGATGTGGAAACAGCCTAGGTGTCCATCGACGGCTGAATGGGTAAAGACAACGCAGTGTAAACATACGTACATATATACACACACAATGGAATACGACTCAGCCATAAAAAAAGAATGAAACAAGGCCATTTGCAACAGCCTGGCCCTAGAGATGACCATACCAAGCGAGGTAAGGAAGAAACAGAAAGGCAAATATCATGACATCACTTACACATGGGACGGGAAAAAGGGCACAGATGAACTCATCTGCAGAACAGACTCACAGACATAGAAAACAAACAGACACGCTTTGCTATAGACCTGAAACTACCACAACACGGTAAACCCACTATGAAGCTGCAAGTGTGACTCGCTCAGCTGGGTCCAACTCTCTGCGACCCCACGGACTGAGGCTCCTCTGTCCATGGGATTCTCCAGGCAAGAATAACCGAGTGGGTAGCCTTTCCCTTCTCCAGGGGAATCTTCCCGGTCCAGGGATCGAACCAGGGTCTCCTGCATTGCAGGCAGCTTTTTTTACCATCTGAGCTACCCGGAAGCAGGTAAATCAACTATACTTCAGTTTCTTTTTTTTTTTAAAGAAGGATAAACTGCTGTTTATAAAAGACATAAGGATATACTGACCAGCACATGGACCTATGCTGCATTAATGTGTAAACATACCGAATCACTGCGTTGTCCATGGGAAACTAGGAAAATTATGCAAATCAACCTAAATTTCTTTAAAAACGTGCTTATGCTTTCCCACCATCCAGCGCATTCACAGAGGATGCTCGTGCAGGAAAAAACCTGAAAGCAATGCAGCCACCCAACCTCAGTGGGTTCTGGACTCCTCAGCCACTAACCACCAGCCCCACCCCCCAGCCCATTGGTGTACACCACAGTCTGACGCCACGGGCTGAGGATTCAAAGCTGGCAGACCACCAAGGTAACCCAATCCATGTCCCCAGCCGTGACTGTGAACCAAACACTGGTGATCCTGACAAACGAGACCTGGAAAATGACACCACGTTCCAATCCCATCACTGCTGTAACAACACAAGCAACGAATTCTTTTCCCTGCTTTGCAAAAAATAATCACGGGCCCCAGGTGCACACCTCTCATCACTTCCAATCACAGTTCCTGTCACCCTGATTCTTTTTTTTTAAAGGATTCCAAAGCTTAAGCAAGTTTACTTTTTAATGTGAGAAAAATCCGTAGTGAAAGTCCACATTTCCAAGGACTGCACTTGGCAGAATACGATTTCTTTCCCCAATCATTGACCTTCGCAAAAAAAAAAAAAAAAAAAAAAGTCGTACTAATCAGCCAAGCAGAAACAAAAATGGTTACCAAAGGGGAAAGGGGATGGGGGTAAATTGGAAGTTTGGGATTAACAGATACACACTAAAGTGAAAGTTTTTCAGCCATGTCTGACTCTTTTCGACCCCATGAAGTAGCCTTTCCCTTCTCCAGGGGATCTTTCCCAACCCAGGGATGGAACCTGGGTCTCCTGCTTTGCAGGCAGATTCTTTACCATCCGAGCAACCAGGAAGCCCTGCAAATCAACCATATTTCAAATCGAACCCAGGTCTCCCCCATTGCAGGCAGATTCTTTCCCAGCTGACCCACAAGGGAAGCCCCATAGATAGATACACGCTACTATATATGAAATAGATAAACAACAAGGACAGATAGATAAACAAGGATAGATAAACAACTTGCTACTGACAAGTGCATGGAACTGTACTCAATTGTTTTGTAGTCATCTGCAAAAGAATAAATATATGTATATAAATGTATGTATGTATGCATAACTGAATCACCTTGAGGTACACTTGAAACACAACTTTGTAAATCAACTAGGAAAGTGAAAAGTGAAACTGTTAGTCGCTTCAGTCTTGTCTGATTCTCTGTGACCCCCCTGGACTGTAGCCCCCCAGGCTCCTCTGTCCACGGGATTCTCCAGGCAAGAAGACTGGAGTGGGTGGCCTTTCCCTTCTCCAGGGGATCTTCCCCACCCAGGGATTGAACCCAGGTCTCCTGCATTGCAGGCAGATTCTTTGCCGTCCAAGCCACCAGGGAAGCCGTACAAATCAACCCTATTTCAATTTTTTAAAAAGAGGAAGATGAGTCAGGATGAAGCACCCATCCCCCATCCTGACTCATCTCCCTCTTTTTTAGGGGGGATGGCCAGGGGGAAATGGCAAGTAACGAATCAACAGTCACACAGTTTAGGTCAAGCATTCTTGCCTGGAGGATCCCATGGACAGAAGAGCCTGGCGGACTATGCTCCATGGGGTTGCAAAGAGTCAGACATGACTGGGTGACTAACACTTTCTCTTTTAAAGCAAGGTGACTGCGTTCTACACCTGCTGTGTAATATTGTAGCTATAGCCCATAGGGCCATACAATACACTGCAACCTGAGCTAAAAGGGTACATCTGTATTCACATGTTCTTACCACAGTGCCAGAAGATGAAAAGGTCTTTCCCTGGTGGCTCGGAGGGTAAAGAATCTGCTCCCAATGTGGGAGACTTGGGTTCGAATCCTGGGTTGGAAAGATCTCCTGGAGAAAGGCATGGCAACCCACTCCAGTATTCTTGACTGGAAAATCCCAGGGACAGAGGAGCCTGGTGGGCTACATATGGTCCATGGGGGTCACAAAGCGTCATACACAACTGAGCTACTAACAGTTTCCTAAGATTAAAAAGAGAGGCCTGGGGTGGTGGCTTCAAGATCAAAAATAATGACTTCATCACCCAATGGGATATCAGCCACCAGAAACCAAAATGTTCACCAATATCGACATGTCAAACCAAGAAGTTCCAACTGTCACCCAAAACACTGTCATCTGTTAATGGGAAACCACTAGACACAACGCACATTTTAAAGAAAACCAGCAGACAGAGCTCTGGGTTCTTTGCCCTCATTTCTGAAGACTTGTAAAAGCAGTTTGCCATTTTCTGAACACCATGCTGAAATATGGGCTTCCCTGGTGGCTCAGAAAATAAAGAGTCTGCCTGCAATGCAGGAGATCTGAGTTTGAGCCCTGGATTGGGAAGATCCCCTGGAGAGGGAAGTGGCTTCCCACTGCAGTATTCTGGCCTGGAGAATCCCATGGACAGAGGCGCCTGGCGGGCTACAGTCCACGGGGTCGCAAAGAATCAGATGCAACTAAGCGAGTAACCAGAGCACATCCTGAAATCAAGACTTGCCTCTTTGAGATGTCTTCCAATAAGGCCCTATGGGCTTTATTCTTTCTCATGCCTTTCCTAAGACAGTTACTCTCTCTCTCCTGGAATGAATTCCATAATACCTCATCTTAACTGTGTATTTTATGTTTGCTGAGGTTTGGTGTGTGTTCTGTCAGGCCTCCCTTCTGGGGAGCAGGGAGGGGAAGGTTGGACCAGATTCAGTTCAGTTTAGTCGCTCAGTCGCGTCCGATTCTTTGCAACCCCATGGACTGCAGCACGCCAGGCCTCCCTGTCCATCACCAACTCCGGGAGTTTACTCAAATTCATGTCCATTGAGTCAGTGATGCCATCCGGCCATCTCATCCTCTGTCGTCCCCTTCTCCTCCTGCCCCCAGTCCCTCCCAGCACCAGGATCTTTTCCAATGAGTCAGTTCTTTGCATCAGGTGGCCAGAGTATGGAGTTTGAGCTTCAGCATCAGTCCCTCCAATGAATATTGGGAACTGATTTAGAGACTCGTTTCTGGAAACCGACTGGCCCGTTTCCACAGGCAGAGGGCGCTCCAGGGTTCCGCACACCCAGGGCAGGTGCTCTCCACAGTGAATGTCTGAAGTTTGAAATTAGAGCCCCAAGTGTCCCAGATATATTCTCCACTCATGCACCTATTTTACGAGCCTTATTTATTTTTTTGTCATATGCCCACCGCAGACGTAAATCCTTCTCACAGACTAGATCTTTGTTCGCAGCCTATAAATTGCTAACTTCTTTCCTTGGGCTTCAAAAATCACTGCGGATGGTGACTGCAGCCACGAGATGAAAAGATGCTCGCTCCTTGGAAGGAAATCTATGACAAACCTAGGCGCCACATTAAAAGGCAGAGACATCCCTTTTCCGACAAAGGTCCATATACTCAAAGCTATGGTTTCTCCAGGGGTCATGTATGGATGTGAGAGCTAAACCTTGAGGAAGGCTGGGCGCCAGAGAATTGATGCTTTTGAACTGTGGTGTTGGAGAAGACTCTTTAGAGTCCCTTGGACTTTAAGGAGATCAAACCAGTCAATCTTAGAGAAAATCAGCTCTGAATACTCATTAGAAGGACTGGTGCTGAAGCTCCAATACTTTGGCCACCTGATGCAAAGAAATGACTCGCTGGAAAAGACCCCAGTGCTGGGAAACAATGAAGGTGGGAAGAGAAGGGCGTGACAGAGGATGAGATGGTTGGATGGCATCACCGACCCGATCGACATGAGTTTGAACAAACGTGGGGAGACAGTGGAAGACAGGGAAGCATGGTGTGCTGCCGTCCATGGGGTCGCAGAGTCGGTCACGACTTAGCAAACAAACAACCACCACCACCACTTTCGCCCCCCTCTGCTTTATTCATTTGTGCTACTCTGCCCCTCTCCAAGAAAAAAAGAGGACGGATTTCCCATCCCGCCATCCACTGAACAAAGAACAGAAGAGGCTTTGAAAAGGCCAAATGTAGGTTGTTTAGAGAGAAGAAAAAAAAATGACAAAACTGGAAAATATTCATGCCATGAATGGCCCATGAATGGTTTACAGGCCATAACAGATGACCTAATTGCCTACAACCACGTGGGCTCAATTTTGAGAGCCTCACTGTGTCCCCATCTCTGCGCACAAGCTGAATATTTTATTTGAAACTGGTAGCTGGCACGCTGAAGAAATCAGCTGTTGCTACGTTAGAGGGCATAGTCTGTCTCAGAAATTTTTTAAAGTCCTCAAGTAGATGATGAAGTGTCACTTCTGAAAAGATAATGGCATCCAGAATTTTTTCCTTTAATTGAGCAACTGATTTAAAGCCAAACATATTCCTCTCATTTGAAAATAAAGGCATACTGTGAAGGATGGGAACATACAGAAAGAATACAGGGGTGGTTGATATATTAAAAATCTGGTCCTTGCCCTTGACTTTCACATACAAAAAAAAAAAACATCAACTGTCATCACGTTTGGAATTTAAATCTGTTTTCATCAGAGAAGCCTGTCTTCAGAGTGAGGGCACTTAAAGGACTTGAAGTATTTTCACAGGGTCGCCTCATTTGACTCACATAAATTCTGTCAACAGGTTGCACCGTGGACAATACCCAGCCTGTAACAAAGGCTGAGAATCTGGAGTACCAATTAAAATGGAAGAACGGTGAGCCCCCTGCCAGATTCCATGCACTTGAATATTTACTTTTGTGAGAACCGGCTCTGGGTTTTTGTTTAGTGGTCCAGGCATCAAAGCCCAATATTCTAAAGAGTTCTTACAGGGTTGCCTGCGCATTCTGAGAGCAACAAAATGTGTATAGACAGGAAACACTCTTGTCTTTGTACGGAAACCAGAAGCTTTCCACAAATTACTGCAAAGAAAAAAAAAAATGAACAGGCCAAGTTCAAAAATAAAAGAAAAACAGCCATATACTTTCTGTTGGTCTACATTCCAGGCCAGAGAAATAACTTGACAATTCTGCACGTGTATTCACTTGTGAATTTCATAGGATCATACTCGCTTTACGCTTCTTATGGAACAATTCCTCACTTATCAAGCACATTATCTATTCTTAAGACTGGGATAAAAAATTACCTGGATAGCTGCATTTAGGGCTAAATGTACATTCAGCATTCTTTTATTAAGGGGGGGAAAAAAATTACAAAGGAATGTAACAATTCTTCCACCAAAGAAAAACATGTCAAAACACCTTGCAAAGGGCATCACAGCACAGCTGTCATTATGAAAAGGCAATGATCATTAACTCCCCACTCGAAATCATACTGGTTTCCAAAAAATTTAACGTGTCATTTTAATCCAGTGATTTAAAACTGATGAAGTAATTTTCCACTTGCTACGTCCTAGCCCTCTTTTTTTTTTCCTTCCCTGTCAAGGAAAATACTCTTTAAAACTGTCAATTACATTTCTTTGGGTACTAGAATACTGAGGTTCTCATCTTGGGGGAAAAAATATAGTTACTTGCAGAGGCCTCTGTGAGATGATTCTGTTTTTAATTTAGGGGCACGTTTCTAAAATGCAATTTTTCTTTTTTTTTAATCTGGACATAAAGGATGAATGCGACCATGTGTCATAAATGCCCGTCTTCCCACACATAACACAGCTTGTGTCGCATTCAAACGCGGGGACCAACCCTGAGTACTTTCGAGATGGCTAGTAACCTCTTCCCAACGCGGATGAGAGGCCTGCAACCCGTCCCCTACCCCACCCACAATGTGCCCCCCACACACATGCAGATTCCGGGGCCATCAAAACCATTTCCCCTGGCTCCGTCAGCCCCGAGGAAAATCGCTAAAGCATCTCCATTCGAATCACGCCGCTCTCCCGAGCAGCTGAGGTTGCTTTGTTCGGCCGGGAAGTCAGGTCTCCACACCCCGGTCGGTTCATTTCTAGCGGAAGGAGGTGCCCACCAGACGGTGCCTGACGCCTGCGCTTCTGGTCTGGCCTGCAAGAGACCTCCACGGCCTGGAAATTCGGCCCCGTGAGGATCACTAAGTCTCCCCCAAACTTTTTTCTTCCTTTTTCTCTCTCCCCCAGCCCACCTCCTTCTGTGTCCTGTTCCTCAAACCAAGGGACAAGCCTGACTCAGAAAAGAAGCTAGGTCGGCAGCACCTCGCATTGGGACACGGGGAAAAGGGAACGCGCTCAGAAGGTGGAAACCGCGCCGGCCAGTGGACCCTTTCCAAAACTGTAGGATATCACAGAAAGCCATTTCACCCCACTGACCAAACAGAAGGGAAAAAAGAAAAAGAACGCAAATCAAAATGAAAGGAAGAATGCATACTACCACCTTGTGGATCCTGCTCGCAAGGACAGCACCTGCTTACTTCGATACTCTCCCCCCACCCCCGGCCCCCGCCCCTGACTCCCCTCACCCCAAATTTAAGTTGGGCCCACCTGAAAGACGGGCTCGCCCCAGGACCCGCCCGCGCTCCGGGTTTCATTCATTACGCGCGCACCCGGCGCGCGCGCGAGATGCCAGCCTCAGCCCCAGGCTATGGGGGGGAAGGTCCACCCTCTACCCGGACCCCCCAAGACGCTGCTTGCTGCCCCCTCCCCCCACGCCATCCCCGAAATAGCAGCCTGGTGGCTCCAGAAATAAATTTTTAAAAAATACAAAAAATTTGAAAGAGAGACCCACACCTGCTGGTCGGTTCCGAGGAATGAGTCCGAAGCAGAGGAAACCCGCAGCAAAAAAAAAAAAAAAAAAAAAAAAACCCGCTTAGAAAACGGGGGGGCGGGAGAGATGCAGAAGACGTTGTCCGAGCGCCCCTCGCCCTCCGGGCCGGAGGTCCGTTCCCAGGGTGGTCCCCCGGCCGGGCCCCCGGTGGGAGGCGGGTGGTGCGCTGGTCGGGGTAGGCGGGGGTGGGGGGCCGGACACCGAAATCGGGGAAGATCGGGTGATATATGTGTGTGTGTGAGAGAGAGAGAGAGGCGCCGGAATGGTGCGCCCGGGCCCAGGGCTGCGCGGGGCACCCGCGCCCGGATCTGGGGATGCAACCTCCCCCCCCCGCAACCCGGAAAGGCCGCCCGGGAGGATCCGAGGGGAGAAAGCGAGCTTCCCGCGTTGTCGGCGGGAGGAAAAGAGCCGGGGGGGTCCAGGTCCGGGGTTGGGGTTGGGGGGAGAGGGGCGCGTCTGGGAGACGGGAGGATGCGTGCGCGCCGGGAGGAGGCGGCGGGCGTCCTGGGGAGCCGGAGGGGGGCAGGCAACAGTCGTGGCTGGGGGCTGGCGGTGGGGGCGGTTTGCAGCCGGGGAACCTCAGCCTTTCCTCCTTCCTCGAGCTCGCGACCCCCCGCACCGCCTGCAGCCGACCGGCACACACACACACACACCACCACCATCAACACCTCCCCAGCCCAGGTCCCCACCCCGCGCGCCCGCAGGTCCGGCCACGCAGGCCCGGGGCGGGGGTGGGGGGGGCAGCCCGCCGCGGCCACCGCCGCCGCCGCCTTGGGGAGGGGGTTGGCTTTTGCCAGGCTCCCCCAGCCCCTCACCCACCTCCGGGTAACCCCCTCCCCGCCGCCCCATCTCCAGCCCCCCCACCCCCCAACAGGCGGCGGATCTTGGCCACCAGTTCCGTCCGCTGGAGGTGGCGGCGGAACCAGGCCGAGGCGCGCGGGAATGCCTTGGTTGGGGGGGGGGGGGGGGATGTTGCGGGGCGGGGAGGGGGGGGTGGTACGGGGAGGTGGTCCGGACGAGATCGGAGAGAAAGCGTGCGGAGGGGAGTGCGGGAGGAGAGCAGCCGGCTTTTAGGACGGGGTGTGGGGCGCTTCTGTGGGCCCCAGGCTGTGGGGGTGGTCCTCAGATCCCACAGACTCCCCAGCCCCCCAGCCCCCGACCTGGGACGAAAGGGCTGGCCCGCCGCGCTCCCAGCGGTGGAGATGGTGGTGCTGATGGGGGGCGCGGGGGGAGGCTCTGCTCTCGAGAATCGGGGTCCTCCAAGGGGCACGGATGGGGTCCGTCCGCACCCCTCGCCCTGAGACCCCGGCCCGGGGCGCCCCGCGCGGGTGCCCGCTGCTAAAGCAACTTTTGTGGTTCCTGGGGCCAAGCGGGCAGCCTTGGGGATCGTGCGCGCGCGGGAGCCGCGTGCCCCTCGCGCAGGTCCAGGCCAGACTCCCGTCCCCGACCCCGCTCCCCGAAGCAGCGAAACCAGCTTCCCCCCCACCACTAGCCGCCCCCGACTCGCTTCACCCCAACACCTTCCACCTCGCGCCGCTGGCTTTTTCTCCCAGCCCACACGCACGGGAAGAGGAAGATTGGGGGGTGCAGGTAGCCCGCCCCCCCCCTCTTCCCCCCACCCCCACCCCCCAGCTTGGCAGAAACCGCGCGGAGCTAACCATCAATCCGTCTTCACCCCGGGGTCTCCAGCGCGCCCCGGGTCGCTGCCCAGCAAACCCCAGCCCGGTCCTAATCAGTCACGTGCGTTATCCAGTGCATCACACAAGCCCGTCATCTGCTCCCAAGGCCAGCAAAGGAACGAGGGGAGGAAAAAAAAAAAAAAGGAAAATCGGTTAATGCAAACCCAGCCAAGCCTGTTTTTTTTTTCCCCCCTTTCCCTGGTTAACCTAAAAAAAAAAAAAAAAAAAAAAAATGCACCCCAGGAGGTAGCAGCTGACAGTTTTCCTTAAAGAAGGAGGGAGGGGGGGAAAAAAAAAAAAAAGGCCGTGGCTGCTCACAGTTTCCATAAGTGCTCCAGGCTGCCTCGCCAGTCCCGCTTTGCAGGGAGCTGGCGCTTCGGTCTTTCTCTCCGTGTACTGCAGATATATTTTTTTTTCTCCCCCTTCCTCTCTCGGCCACACTCTTCTGTTTATTCGTATGTAACACACCACTACTTTGTAAACATCAAAACGCGGCCCCGGCACCGTTCACAGAGCTGACTGCAGCCAAAAGGCTTCCAACCCCAAGGTGGTATATCGCGATTTTTCTAAGTCAAAAGAAAAAAAAATAACAATAATGTAACATTTGTGTCGAGATATGCACGGAGCTGGCAGACGACACGTATGTCCACACTCCCACCCACACCTAAGAAATGGAGCGACAGATGAAAGTCCTACTCGAATTTTCAAAATTAGGAAAAAAAATTTTTTTTTAAATGTCGAATGCAGTGAAGCGCAAACGTTAGCAATCAGGCTTATTAGCATCTTTTGCTGGGAAGCACACACGAGCCCAATCGTTAAATTTAAAAAAAAAAAAAAAAAAAGAGGCTTTAAATGAAAAATAACCCAGAGACGTATATCTTAAAACGGCACCTACCTCAGCCGTGGAGAAGCCGCATCGGTTATGAGCGTTCCTGTTAGACATCCAGATTTTTCCAGGGAACCCTGACCGATGGTTATGATTCAGGAGGATGTGTTTAAGTCCAGCCGCCTGGGGTTTTGTCGAATTCCAACCGGATTGGCACAGCGACCCCCACCCCCAACCCCCGCCCCCGAATGAATGCGAGGACCACCGACCCCGGCCGTCGGCAGGAAAATTCGGTGTTTCTGGCGTAAATAGTCTGATGGGGAGGAAGAAACGGGGACGCAGGCGGAGCTCGAAGGGCAGCGTGAGGTCTGAATAAGCGCTCTGTACGGAGAGACAGAGACCCGGGCTGCAAGAAAGAGAGACTGAACCGAAAGGTCCTGATGGCTCCCAGCTCGCCCTCTGCTATTGGACCAAACTGAATGAAATTTACAAAGCCAGCAGCCAATAGATCTCCGCAGTCGGCCCCGTCACTACAGAAACCACATCCGCGGCTACAAAGCGCTTGCAGAGAGCAGCTAATCCCACTGCAAACCAGCTGGAACGGAGAGATTCCCCGGGTGTGCCTGGGGGGGCGGGGGGTGGTGGTTAACAGGTGAGCCGCGTCTCCCCGGGCCCCCAGTGCCCAAAGCGCCGGGATTGGGGTGGGGGGGGGAAGGTGAGATCTTCCAGCGCTCCTAGGGGCACCCTTCGCAGATGGAAAACGTGTCACCGTATTTGCAAACAGCTTTAACCCTTTACTTCCGGGCTAGGCGAGAGAGAGGGCGCCGGCGGTGGGAGCGATTCCCTGGGCGTCAGGCCGACAAACGTGTTCCTGTTTCCTGACTGATGGTAATGGGAAGCGATGACAGGTAGAGAGATACATGCATACATACACATGGACACATACACATGGTCACAGATACATAGATTAACATATAGATACATACCCGTAGATACATAGGTAGATACAAAGATGCGCAGGCAGAGAGACTGACAAGTATGTTGCGGTTTCTGCATGGTACTGGGAAGCAAGGACATGTACATATATACATAGATAGATACCTGGGTAGGAAAACATACTGACAAAACCTGTTACTGTTTCTGGATGGTGCTGGGTCTGTCTTTCTCTCTCTCTAGTCGCTACGTCGTGTCCGGCTCTCGCCACCCCATGGACTGTAGCCCGCCAGCCTCCTCCGTCCACGGGATCCTCCAGGCCAGAATACTGGAGTGGGTTGCCATTTCCTTCTCCAGGGGATCTTCCCCACCCGGGGACTGAACCCAGCTCTCCTGCATTTGCAGGCAGATTCTTTATCGACTGAGCTACTGGGAAACAGTGACATGTAGATAGAAGCATGGATAGATAACACATAGGAGGATGGATGGATAATAGAAGGATGGATGGAAAGATGGAAGGTTGGGTAGATGGACTGATGCATGGACAGATAGATAGATACCTACATAAACATCCAGTGATACACAGATGGATACATAGATAGCTATCTGTATCTATCTATACAACAAGATGAGAATGAACACCCATAAAGGACAGAACCTCTTTTCTACCCAGGTGATGAGCTAATACTAATCCCCTTTGGGGTTGGTTTGTTTCTTATATGTAAGAACGCGAGGTTTTGATGAACAAAATACATGATGGTTCTGATGAATAAAATATTGAGGACATTGGTGGCGTCTGTCAGTTACTCTGAAACGTCCCTCTTCACGTTTGCGACCCAGGAGTTCATCTTTTCCGGTCAACTACATGTGTGGTGAGAGGACCTGGTTTTTGTCACTGGGTTGGGGTGAGTTGGCTGCCCACTGGGGGATAGCTGAGGCTTACTGCCCACGAAGTGGAGAAAGCCGTAGAGTGTTGTGGCAAAAAGCTGCACACAGATTCTCAAACTTGATTCCTTGGGTTCCAGTGGCCTGTGACCTTTGGGGTGTGCGCTGAGATGCTCTGTCTGGATTTCTGCCTCTGCGATGTGGAGCCGATGAAAGTAATCACGTCGGGATATCCTTGTGATGTGATAAGTGATGCAGGGTTCAGGCATGGAAGATGCTGCAAATAAATGTTTGCTTCTATTAGTAACCTTCTTTTGTAGACCTATGGCTTTATGTCTTGGAGGAAAAAGATGATGTCTCCTAGCCATAGGCTGTTCTCACAAGTGCTCCCGAATCCCATCTGCTGTCATATTTGGTGTGATGGCATAGTTAGGGATTCTTCACAAGCTTTAAGAGAAAGATACCTGGGGGACATAGCCAATATAGAGGAAGGTGATGTACACCGACTCAGGGGACCCGGTTTAAGATCAAGTGTCTGATCTGTGCTCGCTTTGACCTTCTGGGAAGTCTGCTAGGGTCTGTGAACTTTAGGGAATAGATCCTTTAAACAGAGATTAAAATAGCTCTCCTGTGGGTCCCTCGGGATGGCTAAATGAGATAATATTCGTGAAACACCCTTTACCAAAAAGAGCTGTACATATATATCACATGCATAGATATAAAGAGGTGACTATTTTAATCACTGCTATATATACATTCTATGTACACAAAATAGATACACAATCTAATAATAGAAGAAACTTACATATGGTTTATATAAATATTTATTTTCTTCTATCACTGAATAGATATTTAAGTTCCACTAACATAACAGTATCGCTAATAATAGCTTTCCTTCCAAAGGAGTAAAACATGGAACTTCAGATACGAAAGGCTTCCCTTGTGGCTCAGCTGGTAAAGAATCCGCCTGCGATGTGGGAGACTTGGGTTTGATCCCTGGGTTGGGAAGATTCCCCTGGAGAAGGGAAAGGCTGCCCGCTCCACTATTCTGGCCTGGAGAATTCCACGGACTGTACAGTCCATGGGGAAGCAAAGAGTTGGACACGACTGAGCCACTTTCACTTTCAGATACGAAAATATAGATATATACAGAGGTGTAGCTATAAACAAGGAGGGCATGGCAACCCACTCCAGTATTCTTGCCTGGAGAATCCCATGGACCGAGGAGCCTGGCGGGGCTACACTGTGGGGTCGCAAAGAGTCGGACACGACTAAGAGTGCACGCACACCAGCATAGATATAAACATACATCCTTCCTAAAGTGAAGTTTAGAAGCAGAGACTCAAGGTAAACACAAAACTTACAGCAGGCCAGAAAGTCATTGGCTTTGCCAAGAAGTGTGAATTAACTGATTTGTTTATAAATTTATCAAGTGTATCCTGAGCACAGGCCTAAGGAAAAATGCATGTGTGAGTAACACCCAATCATTTATTCTGGAAGGCACAAACAGTCCAGTGGATAAGGGCGCCTACAGCATAAGAAATGCAAAAAAAAAAAAAAAAAAAGAGTAGCTGAAGTTGTGGAAATACCTCTGATGCATGAATTCACAGGGATCCATGGAGGTGGAAATGAAGGAGAAATCTGGGAAGGGGCTGCAGCAGACTAGCGCAGGCCTGACTCCAGGTTGAATCTAATCCCTCGGGTTTAATCTCTGTGGTCAAGTTCCTGGGCTCTGTCGGCTGACTCCCGTGAAAGAATCCTGCCTGGAGCCTGAAATATACACGACAGGGCATCTGCAAGGCTCTGCCTTCCAGGCCTGAACCTTTAAAGGTATAATCAAAGTTGCAGAATGGAAACTTTTGCATATAATAAAATATGGGAACTTTTGCATATAGTCAAAGTTGCGGAATGGGAGCAAGGGTGGGGAGTTGCTGGCAGTCTAGTGGTGAGGACTGGAGGTTTCCAAGGCCGCGCGGAA